TACAAAATTTAATTAGTAACTAACCCACCATGTGACATGGTATATTGTATTGTAATATTTATTACAAATTAATTCTAGTATACCAATACGAAATGATGCAAATTAATTTCACATTTAGATACATATTTATGTCACACACTCTATCCGCTAAAGTTGGCACTAACTTCGCCGACAAGCGGCAGTCGCTCGGTCGGTATAGTTCGCTTGCGGACTAAAACCACGGAGTTTGTTCTTGTTTATTTATATCACAATAATAGTAGGTCATAGAGGATAATTATATCTTTATAAATTCATAATTGTTCAACGTATTTGCCGAGTATGAGATATGAATGTGTTGGATGACAAAAGTTCTTCTCCAAAATAACCTATTCAATTAATTTGTTCAGTCTGTTATATTATTGCAATAATGAAAGTCAATATACATTATGTAGAATACTCTTTTCTTTCCTGTGAGATTATTGGATACGTACACAATCTTGCTCTTCAATATTCACATACTGTGGAACACGCAAAATTGTATATTATTTCACACCTAAAGAAATTTCTTAAAAAATTAAATTTAATACCAATAAAATGTTTAAAACCTGCACAGAAGTGTATACCTATTTTTTAAACACACACTTGTTGTTAAAGGTAACACAAAGATGAGCAAGAATCGTTATTTATAGTTACTGGGTATTCTCCGCCGCATGAAAACCCCAAAAGAGTGGATAACCCAAATAACAATCGTGTACTGAGGACTGCTTAACAACCAGGCGCTAGCAATTTCCGTGTTTATCATTTAAGTTAACTGTCTTTGGTTTAACGAATTACACGCTTATTTGAGGTTAATGGCGACAATGGTTTATAACTGTAAGATACAGAACTATCAAAGAAGAGATACGATGAACTCATTCCACAGAATTTATTTCTTGCGCAACTGAAGAAGCAAACAATATAAAAATGTAGGCATGTAATAAAGAGGGGAAATGTTTATGTCTGATTTAAACCGCAACGTTAGTTTTCCGTGTTATCTTTGTAAAAAGGAATGTAAATATAATCCTAAAGCAGTGTGTTTCCTAATAACTCACATTCGAAACTACCGAGTAGATCTACATAACACTGGAAACTGAGAATATGCATTAAATGTTGGTCTTCCAATTTACTTTCGCTGGTATCAATTTAATTTATTCCTTGCTATCAACGACGATCAAATAGAGCTTCATAAATTTCCTAAAAAGACGGTTTATTGCATAGAAGGACAATTACATTCCATAAAATACAGAGCTCATTATGGTGTACACATTTCAACTGATCTACTTCTCTGTAAGCTTCCGGAGAATGTTTAATGAAATACGTATAAAGAAAAACAAATTTCTAACTGCGTTATGTGAAGTACGCAGTGTGATTACGTTTTGATAGTAGGTTTGTATCTGCAATGAGGCAGGCAAAACAGCGTAACAAAAAGCATATTTGAAATATACATTTACTCCATTGGAGCACATCATCTCATTCAGGTCTTTCCTCTGCCTGCAGAGCAGTGACCATTACTTACTTACTTGGCCACGCCATAGCTCAAGCGGTTAGTCGCTGGATTCCCACCGCGGCGGCCCGGGTTCGATCCCGGGTCTGGTCAAGTGGGATTTGTGGTGGACAAAGTGGCGCTGTGGCAGGTTTTCTTCGAGTACTTCGGTTTCCCCTGCCAATCTTCATTCCACAATCAACCTCACCTATCATCTGGGGCTGGTACAATAGACCAGAAGTGGCCGCAGTACGAGGGACTTAGTCCCACCCCACTAGCAATAAAAAAATACTTACTTACTTACTCATGGGGCTGAGCCCTTCTTGAGGAGCCGCCAATTCTACAGCTACTCAAGACTTTCCCAGCATTTTACGGAACCCGAAGGTTCTTTATCGTGTTCACAAGAGCCCTCCACTGGTCCCTATCAGATCAATCCAATCCATACCATCCCATTCTATCTCTCTAAGATCAATTTTAATGTTGTCCCCCCATCTACACCTTGGTCTTCCCAGTATTCTCTTTCCTTCTGGCTTTCCCACCAATATCCTATACGCATTCCTCGTCTCCCCATTCGTGCTACATGCCCTACCCTCCTCATCCTCCTTGTCTTGATATAATTCTAATTATACTTGGAGAAGGGTACAAGTTATAAATCGTGTCACGAAAATGGACACATAGCAGTGATCATTAGGCTACAAGACTAACATCGTGATTATCACATTGCTAGTGTGTCATCGTCTGTCCAAAAAGGGAATGAGTGGTGTGTTTAGGGTACAACGGGGGGCGACATTTCACAAGCATCTGCAGAGTGTCACATGCACATGGGGAAAACCTATGGGCCCCTCCTTTCCTAGCAGGCGTGAAGCTCATACTGCAGTCTATTTTGGTAACAACCGCTGTCTGACTCTCCTGATTTTCCAAACTGAAAATGACGCCACAATCTACGTTAGAACTGTTGCCTTGAAATCTCCTCTTGATATACCGACCGCGACATTTTCTAGCGCAGTTCTCAATTGAGTCAACTTGTTTTCAGCAAGGAAACAAAATAAAGACCAACAAAGAATTAGAAAGATTTGAAAAAAAAAAGTCACAACACACTGAACTTGTTCAGTACGGCCTTGAACACAATTATTTTTCCTTGGCACTACAGCCCCAGTGGGCCTAGGCCCACCTCCATGAACTTCTCCGTTCACTTCGATTTTTCTAGATCTTACACATACGGTAGGACTCCCTGGGCGGGTGATTAGCTCGTCCTGTACACAAACACAGAAAAACGCACACACACACAAACTAAACATCCATACCCTTAGTGGGATTCGAACCAACGATCCCGGCTTCCGAGACAGTGCACGCCTTAGACCGCTCGGCTACCGTGACCGGCCTTGAACACAGTTACCGACAGAAAATAAGTTTGTAATTTTTTTATTTTTACGAGGAAACAGTATTTTTCTGTCCAGTTCTTGTAGCTACTGGTGCTATGGTTCAATATAATTGGTCAGATGTCTGCAGTTTCACATTCTTCTTTCATAGAGTGACTATGGTGTAGGTCAATGTTTCTGAAACTGCGAGGTTCAGGGGACTTGAGGATGTGACTCAAGGCAGTGAACTATGAGCCGTTATACTTTGCCACGCATGTCGTGTTGACCTAATGCTTATCTTACTAATTTCGAAATGTAAACTAAATAATGTTGCGCATTTTCTTGGAAGATCTAAGTTAGTGTCAACAGCCTTACTCAGGAATGTTAACCATTTGTCTGCCGACGTACATATGTTCATATCGACATGGACTTCATATATTGAAAATTGTGTATATATATACAAAATCTTTGTGTGTACAATACCTGGAAAATATCAACTATCCACTTGAAATTAAGCTAGATATAAAATAAGAATAATTTTTCGATACAGTTTTCATATCGGTGCTGAAGGTAGTATGACGATTCATATCAAATTACGGACATTGATTGATAGTCTAAGTTATATAGAGTATATGTT